GCCCGGGGTGGATATGTACAACTGAGTGTCATCAGCGTACTGATGGATTCAATCAAGATCCCATGAGGTACTAATACCACTCTATAAAGCAGGGATGTCAAACTCACATCACATGCCATCGTGTCTTTTTTGCCATTGCCGGCAATGTGGGGGGCATGGTTTCACTAGGTTGCATCCGGCCCGCAGGCCAGCAGTTTGACACCCCTGCTATAAAGCCTTAGTAAGACCACACTTAGAATACTGCAACCAGTTTTGGTCTCCACACTATAAAAAAGATGTTGAGACTCTAGAAAAGGTGCAGAGAAGAGCAACAAAGATGATTAGGGGACTGGAGGCTAAAACATATGAAGAACGGTTACAGGAACTGGGCATGGCTAGTCTAGTGAAGAGAAGGAGCAGGGGAGACATGATAGCAGTGTTCCTATATTTGAGGGGCTGTCACAGAGAGGAGGGGATCAACCTATTTTCCAAAGCACCTGGAGGCCAGACAAGGAAAAACGGATGGAAGCTGATCAAGGAGAGATTCAAGCTAGAGATGAGAAATTTTCTGACAATGAGAACAATCAACCAATGGAATAGTTTGCCTTCAGATGTTGTGGGAGTTTCATCACTGGAAGCTTTCAAGAAGAGACTGGACTGTCATCTGTCAGAAATGCTGTAGGATCTCCTGCTTGGGTAGGGGGTTGGACTAAATGACCTACAAGGTCCCTTCCAACTCTGTTATTCTGATTCTGATTCTGATCTTCAAGCACAAAACTCTCATGTTATCTACTTCTTTGAAACTTTGGCATAGTCTCATCCCACTCAGCCCTCCCCCTCCAATCCTTATATCTTTGCTGAATCTTGCTAGATTTCTTAGTTCCTTGAGGTCTTGATGGTCAAGAACGGTCTCAGCTCACCACACTTTTCTCAACCCTTAGAAGAGATTTCAAAATCCCTGGTACCTTTAGGAGGGCTTTCTGGATGGTAACCTGGCTGTAGACTCGAGGTCCTTCTTCTGGGTTGATAGCTCTGAACTCATCCTTTTGCAAGGAAAGGAGCTGAACGCCATTCAGAATCCCCAAGACATTGACAATCCTGCAGAAAGGAAGGAAAAGGGTAGGTAAAATAAATAGGCCATGATAGGAAAAAGGAGTTATTCCATTTAAACTCTAAAAATGAAACCAATTTGAAAGTGACCTCTAACTAGGTCAAACTCTGGCAGCTCTTTTGACCAAATAGCAGAATGTCTAAAAAATCTCCATTGGGTTTATTTATTTATTTATTTATTTATTTAATTGCATTTATATCCCGCCCTTCTCCTTGCGGACTCAGGGCGGCTGACAATGATTAAAATACTAACATATACATCTAATTAAAAATTGATTAAAAAGAAATATTTAGATACGTCAAATTTAAAAGTAATTAAAACCCCTTTAAAATCCCTTAGGCCAGTCCCGCGAGCTG